GAGAACGAATGCAGGCTCCAGCTCGACGTACGGGGCGATGTAGTCTTTGAGCGGGATTGGAGTGCCCTCGTAGATGAAGGTGCTGGCCAGCAAGAAGCCATAGTCGGGCTGGTCCAGACCGAACGCGTCTTGCATGACCTTGGCAATGTTGCCCAGTTTCAGTCCGACGAGGCGGTCGCCTTGCTTGACGGCCTCGTCGACGGTGATGCGCTGAACTTCAAACGCGCTGTCGGCGTCGAGCGAGGGCCATGTTTGGGTGGGTGGGGATATGGGCTTTTTCTCAGTGCGGGCGGCGCGTAAGGCGAGCGCGACTTCGCGCAATTCGTTGGGCTGCATGGTTGAGTCTGAAGAGGGTATGAGTAGATGGGTGAATAAGTCTTGTGAGCGCAATCCGATGGGTGTTGAACAGTGGTAGGAAGAATTTAAATATGAATTGTCCATTTACCTCAGAGTGGACACCGTGAGAACCCGAAAAAGCCTGCTCATCGAATGCACGTCGGAAGGCATCGGGAGGGGCTTCCTTGTAGCTCTCCTATAAATTACTTCTTATGGAAGAGTCAGAATCCGATCGCTCGGTGAGATGCTGATGCTCGGGAGCGTCATCCGATGCAACCGAGGGTTCTGTGAATGGAGTAGATATTGTATACAATCCCGGGATTGTATGAAGCAGCACTATATAAAGCCGTCCAATCTCATCGGCTGTACCTCATAGTAAAGTGAGACTGTCTGGACAAAGGTATCCTTCATACGCTAACTACACCTGATCAAGATGCAGGCAGCAAATCGCCTGCAGAAATCCCTCAAAGCCGGCCGCCCTTCGCTTGGGGGCTGGCAGATGCTCCCTGGCACCAACCTCACACGAGTCATGTGCCGGTCATCCTCGAATCTCGAATGGCTCCTCATCGACCTTGAACATGGAAATATCTCCGATGACACGATGCACGAGATTGTGGCCGCCGCCGCCGCATGTGGCGTGTCGCCGATTGTGCGCGTGGTCGAGGGCCGGCCCTGGGCGATCAAACGTGCCCTTGACTCGGGCGCCCACGGACTTTTGGTCCCCATGCTAGGAACAGCCGAAGATGCCCGGAGGATCGTGCAGCACTCGAAGTTCCCTCCGGAGGGCAATCGGGGCTTTGAAAGTCTCCTTGCGGTGGAGAAGTTCGTCGAACAGCACCCGCACGGCGGCCCCGTCCGCGAACTGACCGGCCTCGAATACCTGCAGCAAGCCAACGACGCGCTGGTCATTGCGGTTCAGATCGAGACTAAAGCTGCGTTGGAAAATGTGAAGGCCATTGCGGCTGTACCGGGGGTCGATGTCTTGTTCATCGGGCCTTTTGATCTCGGGGTCAACATTGGTCATCCTATGCGCGGACAGGGGGTGATGGATCCGGAGCTTTTGGAAGCGATCCAGACCATTCATGAAGCCGCGCAGGCTGCCGGAAAGGTTACTGGGATCTATTGCGACTCCGGGGAGGAGGCGAGGAGATATGCCGAGCAAGGGTTTCTCATGCCGAGTGCGATGACGGATATGGTGGGGCTGCGCAAGGTATTTAGACAGGCGTTTGAGGGTGGACAATAATGTACAGTATTTAGGTAGAGTCCTCTCCAAATCTTTACTAGTTATACTGCACCGGTCAAATATAGCCCTAGACAACAGCACATCGCCATGTCCGACTGTGTGCCTTCCTGATGGTACAGTACACGAGACCTTGAATCTTTCTCTTCTCAGTCTTGCCAATCTTTAAGGTTCTACATAGTATGTGTACCTGTTATTACATCTCCATTGGTTTGACCATCATAAAGCCACTTGTTGCAATCCGTTCAGGTGGCAGACGAACTCCGATATCTTGGTGCATTGCATACATGCTTTTTTGCAGGGCATGTGTTAGTAATAGACCCGTGCAAGTAACTAGTTATTGAAGCCAGCTGAGTCATTGCGAGCAACCCTCCTGTCAGGATCTGCGTGAACAGAGAAAGGGAAAGTTTGATAGTAGGGTTGAACATCTATATCCTTGCATTGTTCATGGACTGACATGGACTGAGGAATGCGGTGAACCTGTCTTTTCTCCCCGCAATAGTTAACTTGACCACCGCCGCCTCTTTCCGACCGTCTTTCCTCCACCTCCTTCTCATCTCCCTGCGACACGACGATCACTTATCATCGCACTTTGAGCTCAACCTTCAAGAGCTCTCCCCTCTCCATCCCTCGAGCCTCTCCGGTGTAAGCATCAACAAGCAGAACCTTGATTTAGCAGCCTTTCTGGATTGAGCCAACCATTAGTATTGTTGACATTGGAGGCCGAGCGCGAAACCGACGACCCCGGACCGCGTACTGAAGACGACTCAACAAACACATCAAGATTGTCTCAACACCCCCTTGGTGAGAACATGGCTATTAATTCTCCTGGCTCTGTCTCAACTGACGCATCAACTAGAAGATCTTTCGGGACTCCGCAATCGTGATGAAGGCATGGCAGCTACGTAGCTTTCGGCCTCGCTGGCCGAGGCCACCAACATCTCCACGGTCGCAAAAGCCATTCTTCTTCCGATCCAGCTCGTCGACCTCTCAGCAACGCGCCTCTGAGCGATCAAGAACTCTTCCCCTCGTTGGCACCGCCATAGCTACTGCTGTTGTCACTCTGCTGGCTTCTAAAGCGTGGGATGGACCCGCGGCGCCCACCGAAGCCGAAGCCGAAGCCGCCAAGACACAGTCGGGTGGAAGATATGCTGATCTCCCAACCATGTTGAAGGTACGATCCCGCCCAGTCCAGCCCAGTCCAGTATAGCATGCAGTTTGGCACCAATTATTCGAACCATTGCTTCTAACCGGTCGCGCGTAGGCTGTCAACGAGCTGCGAAGTATTCTAGGCGACGAATTTGTCAGTGTTGATGCCGAAGACATCGAGAACCATGGGTACTCGGATTGGTCGACCTCCAACACCACCGAACGCCCGGTCGCAGTCGTGAGTCCTGCCACGACTGAACAAGTCTCCCAGATCGCGCGTGTCTGCACCAGGTACAGAGTCCCTATGGTCCCATTCGGTGCAGGATCGAGTGTCGAGGGGAACTTCTCCGCCCCGCATTCCGGCATCTGCATCGACCTGTCCCGCATGAACCAAGTGGTCGCGGTGTATGAGCAGGACATGAACGTCACGGTCCAGGCCGGGGTGCGATGGGTGGACCTGAACGATCAACTCCAATCGACCGGCCTGTTCCTGCCCATGGACCCCAGTCCAACCGCTTACGTGGGGGGCATGATCGCCACGAACTGCAGTGGGACCAACGCCATGCGATACGGTACCATGAAGGACTGGGTGGTCAATCTTACCGTCGTGCTTCCCAATGGGTCCGTGATCAAGACCAAGCGACGTCCGCGCAAGTCCTCGGCGGGGTACAACCTGAATGCGCTGTTCACGGGGTCCGAGGGCACGCTGGGCATCATCACGGAGGCTACGCTCAAGCTGGCAGTGACTCCGCAAGAGACCAGTGTGGGGATTGCCACATTCCCGACCGTGGGAGATGCAACGGCGGCCGCATCGAAGCTGATCCGGGCGGCGGTACCCTTGGCGGCGCTGGAGTTTATGGACGATGTCCAAATGAGGATCATCAACCAGAATGGTGGCGCGGGCGGGAGGTACTGGGTTGAAGCCCCAACGCTGTTTTTGAAGTAAGTGTGTGCGCATTTGGATTGTGTAGAGCTGCCATGGGAGACGACTCTGACATTCTCAGATTCTCCGGCACCACGGCTGGAATCAATGAGAGCATCGACCGAACCCGGGAGATTCTCAAGAACAACAAAGGGGACGAGTTGATGTTCGCATCAAGCCCGGAGGAAGGGGACAATCTCTGGTCTGCCAGGAAGCAGGCCTTGTGGACGACCTTAGCGGCGAGGCCACCAGGCACGGAGATCTGGTCTACCGATGTGGCGGTGCCGATCTCACGTCTGGCCGAGATCGTTGGTGAGTAGTGGTCTCCAGCCAGTTTCTTCAGGCATGCTGATGGTTGGAACAGAGATGTCAAAGGAGGAGTCCAGTAGCCTTGGACTTTTCTCCACAGTATTGGGGCACGTTGGCGATGGCAACTTCCACCAGGCTGTAATGTACAATCCCAAGAGCCCTGAGCAGTATCGAGCTGTGAAGGCATGTGTCTCAAGAATGATGCAGCGGGCGCTCGAGATGGAAGGCACAGTTTCTGTATGTCCTTTAGACTTTTGCACCTCACAAACTCACACTGACGTTCTCAGGGCGAGCACGGCATTGGGATCGGGAAAAAGGTAATTCACCCGCTCCCTGACTAACCGTAAATACGTTATCTAACCTGAGAAGGACTACCTTGAAGAGGAATTAGGGGAACCCACGGTGGATCTCATGAGGACATTGAAGCGCAGCGTGGATCCTTAGTGAGGATGCCTCCGATCATGACTTGGCCAGTACTGACTTTGACTCATAGTTGGCTCATGAATCCTGGCAAGGTTTTCAAAGAGAAATGACATGAGTATTTGCCCTGAGATCTCAACAGTTCACACGATCAGCATGTTGATCATCCTTGGTCTTCCAGGCAACAGGCAATTGCCCCTAATTGCAACACACTACTGCCGACGCGGGTCATCAAGCCCACCTCCGACGTGGGCATGCAATATGAAATTCGCACATGACGACTCTATTGGTCCCCCTTGGGTCAATTGCTTATCTCGCCCGTCTATATGCCATCATCCTCATGGGATCAAGTTCTGCAAGCGAAAGTGCCAAGCTCAAGCCAAGACAACGGTCGCATTTCAGTGCACTTGGCACGACCAACTGAAGTGGTTCACTGCTGCCACGTGCAATGCTTGGTCTGTCTATCCGAAGTGATTCTGCAGAGTATCTCATCTCCTGCTCCTATTTTCAAGTCGCTTGTACTATTGTGTTGGCTGGATTCAGGAACAGAACAGGCTTGACATCCGACATTCCTGCAACCTGCATGCCAAGAATGCATCCACGTACGAACATCACAATATCTCCGCCAATGGCCGTGGACAATTGCAGCGCGTGACGATCTTTTCCAAGCTCGCAAGAGACAACCCTGCTGCCGAGAGCTTAGCATAGAGACGAGCACCTCGGTTACAGCTAGTCATCTCATGATAGCTCAGGGTTCCCCTCTTGTTCCTCATCTATTTATCTGCCCCTGAACCAGCTGCTCCACGCAACAAAGGCATTCTCCCGGAGGACGGATAAGCTCCAGTATGCGGAACCTTGAGCTTCTCGGGCTGAGTGCCCTCGCAGCTGCGTCGGCCTCTGCGGCCACTACCAGCGGCAAATTCACCGCACTGTGTTTCAACGTCGCTGGTCTGCCGGAGATTCTTAACAGTAATGACGTGAATGGCACGAAGACTGAGAACGCGGAGGAGCTTGGCAAGTATTTTGCAGAATATGGCTATGATATCATCCAGCTGCAGGAGGTATGTACTGTACATCCCACCATATTGTGGGTTGAGGAGCTCGCTCATCGAAATCAAGGACTTCAACTACCATGCATACATCTACGAGTACGACGACCACCCCTACCGCACGGCTACTTCGGGCGGTGCCGCCATCGGCAGTGGCCTGAACACCATTTCCAACTACGACTGGGTTGACTTCACGCGTGTCAAGTGGGACACGTGCTCGGACGCCTCCGAGTCGGACTGCCTGACCCCCAAGGGCTTCACCTTCATGCGTTGGAACCCGTCCGAGGGAGTGTACATTGACTTCTACAATCTGCACGCGGATGCGGGGTAGGACATCCTCCTCCATCAACACCATCGTGACCGCCATATCATGAACTAACAGACAACCTCACAGCACCGAAGACGGCGACGAAACCGCCCGTAATGCCAACCTCCAACAAGTCGCCGACTACATCGACACCTGGTCGACCGGCAACGCCGTGGTCATCATGGGCGACACCAACAGCCGCTACACGCGCAGCGCCGACACGGGCATCCGCGTCTTCAAGTCGCAGAACAGTCTCACGGACGTCTGGGTCGAGCTGGAGATGGGCGGGGTGTACCCGACCGCGGGCGCGGACTCGCTGATGTGCGACAACCCCTCCACGAACGAGACCTGCGAAACGGTGGACAAGGTGTTGTACCGGGGCTCCAGCCTCGTCACCCTGGCGGCCGACAGCTTCCGCTACGACGGCGAGGAATTCCTCAATACCAACCCAGAGTATCTGGGGGATGTGCTCTCTGACCACAATCCGGTGCTGGTCGACTTCAGCTGGACGCTGTCCTCGTCGCTCCGCCAGAGCGAGTTCTCCGGCGGGCCGCACGGCGACTGGTTCAACGACCTCCCCAGCTTGCCCGCCGCGCCGGTGGCCTCCGTGCTGACCTTCCGCGGCGCCGACCGGCTCGACGCGGTTGCGCTGAAGCTGACGGACGGGACCACCTTTAGCCACGGCGGCACTGGCGGGACGGCCGTGTCGCTGACGCTGGACACCGGCGAGTACTGGACCCAGGCGGTGCTGTGCACCGGGCAGTACAACAGCCACACCCGCAACTTCTATATCAAGGCTACCACGAGCGCTGGCAATGTGTTGGAGGCCGGGACCGCCACGAGCAACTGTACCACCTTTACCGCGGATGACGGGTATGCCATTGTGGGGTATATGGGGCAGGATGGCGATGAGATCGATCAGTTGGCTTTCATCTATGCTGCGTACTAGGGTCGCGTCGCTGGGAAGGCGGTTCGAAGCTGTGAGGTGTGAGACTAGCATGGAATACATGAAGTTGATTTGTCGGTGACTTGCTCGCCTATTTTCCTTTGCGACCGCAGCCTAACCAGGTATATGGTAGAGTCTGGGTGTTTGCTGTGTTACTTGGGCTTCTAGCAACATCCGGCGTCCCGGTCCTCGAAGTGTTCGACCGGGTGGTACTATCGCCCTTGTTCGAGCGCTAGACCATAAATCACCCGCAGTGCATGGCGCACGTAGCGACGAGTGGTATGGAAAAGGTGCAATGATGGTTCAGATAATTGGTTGACAATTTTAGATGGAGGGCATGAGCGAAAGTGGCCCGCGATTATAGACGGCCCACAACCGGGTGAAGCATTGGGCCAATGAGATGATGCGGAAATTGTACATCTCCGAAAGATACCGTGTGATAATCCAAAGGAAGAGAGATGCCAGCTTCTCGAGTATCAGGGGCTGTCCTTGGGTTCGCACTGTCCGGGGTTTGACCGCAAGAACCCCATCACATCCAGTGAAATGAATACTTTATTTTCATACACCCGCTTGTGCATTCATATATCCGTCAAGATCCTACATATATTGCCTGAAATCACTAGCTAGGTTGAATAAAGCTGGTATTTACTTCTTCAACTTCGTACGCTTTCCCGATGCATGCCCACCGGGCCCGCCGGCATCGTATCCGATACTGACAAGACATACAGGAGGAATACTTCTCCGGGCACTCCTTCAACACAACTAACCGAAAGGATGATGCATTGAATGATTAATGGATCAATGGGAAACTCCCTGCTATTATCGTAGCACTCATCAATTCCAGGGGTAGTTCTAGGACAACTAGTTCATGCACATAGATTGCGCGCGCCTAGAAGCCCACTCTCGACCAATGAGTGACATTCCTTTTGCAAATGCTCCCAGCTTCCTCCACTTACTTTCCGATGCTACATATAAGCGCCTTGGGTCAATCTGCCTAGCTCCAGACCAGAACGAATAACTGGGCTTGGCTTGGATTGGAGGAGGGGGTTCAGGAACAATCCAGAACTCCGGAGGTCGCATTCGATTGGGACTGGACTCAATCAACTCGAGTGATTAAGTGACGTAAAAGAACAATACAGTTCACTACTCTTCCATGAAGCCTTCAATTGCATTTGAGGGGAGATTGTGGCATGTTTTTGCATGGGCGATGGGTCCGCCAAGGCCTCTGGGTGGATTCCTTCGGGCGAGACCAAACGGGCAGATTAGGGCAAGACATGGTCTCAATCGGGGTCAACGCCACCAGACGCTGTCACATTGGGGACTTCACCGCACCCGTTACTCCGTACTCCTGGAGCCCAGGGCCCAGGAAGATTCCAAGATTCCAGGTTCACCCTCGGAAACTGTGACCAGTCAAGCAGCCAAGAGCGATCGAACCACCCATGGTGCCCTTGGGGAGATTGCCTGCGGCGGTGTCGAGTTAGAGAGTAAGACCCAGGAGACGCATCCGAGCCCCGTCCAGACCCCGTCCGGGTCCTGTCTTGCCTGCTGGCCTCCTGTCTCGAATGAAGCCAAGCCGCCGCTGCCACAAAAGGGCTTGGCAGGGAACTTGCCTCGGCGGATGGGAGCGAGCCAGACGCTCTCCGGTGGAGGCGGGCAGCATTTAAGATGAAACGTCGCGTCTTGGCGGGCTCCGCTCCAGTTCGCCGGCATTCAGAATTTCATCCTCTGGACGGATTCCGGAGTAGACCCTGCTCCAAGGGCCCTGATATAAGACCCTTCTCCTTGCTACTGCTGCTGTGCCTTTTCCTTTCTTTTCTTCTCCAGCTTGGATAGCAGTTCATTCTTTTTCTGCAGGTCATCTTCCTTCCATTCATTCATTCATTCACTTACTCCCTTCCCTTCATTTTTCAGTCCTTCTTTTTTTTTTACCACTCTTCTCCCAAAATGAAGTCCTCTACTTTCGGTATGCTCGCTCTGGCAGCAGCAGCCAAGATGGTCGATGCCCACGCCACCGTCTTCGCCGTCTGGATCAACGGCGAGGACCAGGGTCTGGGCAACAGTGCCAGTGGCTACATCCGGTCTCCCCCCAGCAACAGCCCCGTCAAGGACGTGACCTCGACCGACATCACCTGCAACGTCAACGGCGACCAGGCGGCGGCCAAGACCCTCTCGGTCAAGGGCGGCGACGTCGTCACCTTCGAGTGGCACCACGACAGCCGGGACGCCTCCGACGACATCATCGCCTCCTCCCACAAGGGCCCCGTCATGGTCTACATGGCCCCGACCACCGCCGGCAGCAGCGGCAAGAACTGGGTCAAGATCGCCGAGGACGGCTACTCCGACGGCACCTGGGCCGTCGACACCCTGATCGCCAACCGCGGCAAGCACAACATCACCGTCCCCGACGTCCCCGCCGGCGACTACCTCTTCCGCCCGGAGATCATCGCCCTCCACGAGGCCAACACCGAGGGCGGCGCCCAGTTCTACATGGAGTGTGTCCAGTTCAAGGTCACCTCCGACGGTGCCAACACTCTGCCCGACGGTGTCAGCCTGCCCGGCGCCTACTCCGCCACCGACCCCGGTATCCTCTTCAACATGTACGGCTCCTTCGACAGCTACCCGATCCCCGGTCCCTCCGTCTGGGACGGCACTAGCTCTGGCTCTGCTTCCTCTTCTTCCTCTTCTTCCTCGTCCAGCTCCTCCGCCGCCGCTGCCGTTGTTGCCACCTCCTCTTCCTCTTCCTCTGCTTCCATCGAGGCCGTGACCACCAAGGGTGCCGTCGCCGCCGTCTCCACCGCCGCCGCCGTGGCCCCTACCACCACCGCCGCTGCCCCCACCACCTTCGCCACGGCCGTCGCCTCCACCAAGAAGGCCACTGCTTGCCGCAACAAGACCAAGTCCTCCTCCGCCTCCGCCGCTGCCTCCGCCGTCGCCGAGACCACCTCCTCCACCGCTGCCGCCGTCGCCGTCGAGACCACTGCCGCCGCCGCTGCTTCCTCTGCCTCCTCCGCCTCCGGCACCGCCGGCAAGTACGAGCGCTGCGGTGGCCAGGGCTGGACCGGTGCCACCACCTGCGTTGACGGCTGGACCTGCAAGCAGTGGAACCCTTACTACTCCCAGTGCGTTGAGTCTGCCTAGATTCTGAGTGTCAGGGGGGGTATGACCAGATGAGATGTGGTTGTGTGTTAGACGTGGATGGTTCGGTGGGTGTTGGTTGTTGCCTGCTGGGGTGTTGACTAGATTCGTTGTATAAATTAATCAAATCCATTCTCTCTGAGATGTATTACTGAGTGTCTGTGTCGACTGTAGCTTTTGCTGGGGTCTGGTTGGAAGTGGGTGTATTGCTCTCTGTAAGGTTGGCGTGTCATAGGGCTAAGGGCTGTGTCTGCCTACATGCATGGATGGCGGGTGAAGAGGGGAAAGCGGGTTGTTGTCATTCGATGCTGATTCCTCCAGTTCCAGTTGTCTATGCTTGAGAAGTAAAATTTAGAAAATGAATGAAGAGGACTGACAAGAACTGACAATAACGATGATTTCGCCGAAGAGAAAAACAGAGCTGAGGGACGACGGACGGGAAAGGCGGGAGGCGGCAAAAAGACATGACAAGGGTGGGATTCGAACCCACGCCATCTGACGATGATCAGGAAGCTTTGGAAAGCTGACTGCTAAGGTGGACCTTAACCTGACGCCTTAGACCGCTCGGCCACCTTGCCGGTTGATGTAAGAAGCTGGTTTTTTTTGTTATATGAACAAAAGCATACGATACCCGTCGTTGCCTTGACCACCGCCCGCCCCCTTGTGCGACCATGCTGCGATACTCTTTATTTATTTTTTGGGGGGTGGAGGCCCTGTTTCCGTTTCTACTATTGCTACATCGGTAATGTTTTCATTGCGATGAACTCGCGTGGCTCACGATGCTCTCTTATCCGGTGCAATACTCCATTCCATCCCGCCATCTAATAAGTTATATATCCGCTTGCTGTCCGCACCTGCCGGAAGACCGGGCCGGGGACTCAACGGCCAGAACTTCTGGGAATGGAAAGCATGCACCTCGCTCACTGACTCTAACCGCCAGGGGATCCACAGATGAGACTTACATGCGATGACCATTACCACGGCTTGAACATTGACCCAAAAAAAAAAAAAAAATCCAGGGCAGGTCGAGAGAGCGGACAACGCAGCCTTCCCTCCTCGAACCGAGGCCGATTCTCCGCGGCGAACAGTGATATCGATAGGGCTTTAACTTGCGCGGCAAGTATGCCATGGGCTGCATGAAGTCGACTATCTCCAGTCCCCAATCGAAGAAGAAACACCAACCAGCCGCACGACAGCCTACAGCGCCAGCCACGGCGCCGAAAGCAGGGTGTTGGGGAACTGGGCGAACCGGTGGACGGTGGTCAGCAGACGGCGCGCCAGCGCGGCGGCCTCCTGGGCGCTCAACACGTCGCTGGAGGCGAGGACCTGGATCTTCAGCTCGCGGCCCGCCGCGATGGACCGGATGAGCACCTGGTCGGGCAACTGGATGCGGAGGTCGGTGGACCGGAACGCGGTGTCGGTGCCGTCGAAGACGAGCGGCGGGGGCCCCTCCCCCGGCAGATGGTTGACGATGCACCCGAACCGCGTGCCGCGCGGCCAGCGCGTGCTCTGGGCGGTGATGTCGGCCAGATCCAGCACGCTGTGGCGCGAGATCTGGACGTAGTGCTGGTGCAGCGCGTGGCAGAGGTCCAGCACGGACCCCGCCGCTCCGGCCGGCAGCTGGACGCGCACCGGGTTGATGTTGATGCACGGGCCCAGGATGCTGGTTGCGCCGCGGACCGGGTTCTCGCGCGTGTCCATCACCAGCCCGAAGGTGATGTCGTTGGTGTCGGTGTACTGGGCTAGGGTGAAGGCGAGGGCTGCGTTCGTGAGTGTCGGGATCGTGATCCCCGGCAAGCAGCGCGGGAGCGCGTCGATCGCGGTTTCTTTGATGTCGGTGAAGCTATCGCGGTCTGGGACCGCGGTCGAGACGCCGGCGAGCGTCGTCATCGTCGCGCCCGGGAGATATCGGCGCCAGAAGTCCAAGGCCGCGGCCGTCTTGTGCTGGTGGCGACCATACATATACTGCGAGAACGGAGCGGCGGTCGCGGGGGATGGCAGGACGCCGCCGGCACTGTAGGCGGTGGTTAGGTCGGAGGACAGATAAGGCAACGAGAGCCCGTCGTACTGGGCGTGCGAGAGCTGGAGCACAAAGGCGTGTTTCGTGGGCGACTGAGAGATCAGCGTGAATCGCGTGGGCGGTTTGCCTAGCACCAGAGGGTTCTGACGGCCGAGATTAGGGATCTCACAGCCCGGACAGTCGGCGCAGAAGGAGGAGTCCGCGGTATGTTGTTCTGCTAACCGGTGGGAGAAGCACTCCGCGAAAGACCGGAGGACCACTTGGACAAAACTGCCTCGAAGCCTGGTGAAGACGGTACGCAGAACGCTGTGCTTCTGGACCGGCAGGCGGCTCGCAGTCGGTCGAGATCTACGGGACCGTCGATCATGAAGGAGATGGTCACTGGGGTCCACTGGGTGAGAAACCAGACCTGGCATCCTGTCAATGGGAGGATGTCGAGGATGGCGTCTGTCGACGTAAGCCCTAGCTCGCCAAGCTCGGCCGGGGTGAGAGACGAGGAGTCGTAGTCCAGGAGGGAAAAGGGTGGGAAGTCCTGGTGCTGAACCTTTGGGCTCGAGAGCAGCGAGGTCTGCATCTCCAGAGCCAGAGTCGCCACGGTGGGATGTTGGAAGAGGTCTCGCACCGTGATCGCAGTGTCCAGCTGGTTGTTGATTCGCGTCACCACCTTGGTGGCCTTCAGTGAATCGCCACCGTGGTCGAAGAAGTTATCGGTAATGCCAATATCCGTCCCCAAAATGTCGCTGAACACTCGAGCCAAGGTAAGCTCTGTATCATTGCCTGGTGCTACTCTCTCTGGTATTACCTTCGATCTGGGACACACGTGGGCCTGCTTTGCGAGCGCCTGGCGGTCGACTTTACCGTTGTTGTTCAGGGGCATCTCGTCACCAACCACGATCAACCGGGGCACCATGTACTGGGGAAGCCGGGCCTGGAGCATCTGCCGCAGCTCTCGCTCGGTTTTCTGATTCTGTCGCTGTTGGAGAGGATGGTTGCTTAACGTTCGAAGCGACCGACCCGTATGGTCAGTGGGGAATCGGAAGAGCACTCGCCCTGTCTTGCTTTGCGTCTGGTTGCGGTGGAAGATAGCATCCAGTCCGCCGCGCTGGGAATGCTGCCGGGCCCAGCTGATCTCAACCTCGAAGCCCGTCTTCCGAGCCAGTGCAACCAATTCCACCGGTGAAAGAGACGGCGGGGATTGGCTCATGGGACGGAGGGTCTGGAGCCGGTGGTTGCGGGCAGCCAGCACATTCACAGACGGATCATCCAGAAGATCGACAATCTGTCTTTCTAAGATCGTCTTCCGGTACGGGATGTTGCTCACAGCGATCAGGGATGACTGAGTCGACTTCTGCAGAAGCCCCAAGAGGGATTGGTCATCCATTGCAGCGCCCCCAAAGTCAATCCAGTCGCTCTCCTGAACCTCGTGGACCTGAATCAGCGGGTGCTCCTCCCGCCGGGCATGCAGTACAGCCGCATAGCGGTAGCAGCTCAGCTCGTTTGTTGCGTCCATCTTCTTGGGCAGGATCTCGACGTGTTCGATGAGGTCGGGGAGCTGACTTGCTAGCATTGTGAAGAACGCAGGATCAAGAGGTAACTCTTCTTCCACACCAGGAGCCTCAGCAATGGTCTGCTGAATGTCGTCCACCGTCGCTGCGTCGCCCAGACGGTGCAACACCTTGGACACCTGGAACTCTTGGTAAAGTGCATAAGACCGTACGTCACCCAAGAAGATGCGCTTCACACCCTGCAGTTGCACCAGGTCCTTAATCACCTTCATCAGGTACCCCGAAGAGGGGAAGTATTGGGCAACCGAGTTCAGGATGGCAAGATCATGCGACTGGTCGCTCTGAAGGTGACAAATGTCCGCCGCCGTGCCGACATGCATGGAAATCTTCTCCGCCGCCCCGGGGAATGACTGGGCAGCCGCGGTGACAAGTTGGACTGCATTGCGCGCCGGCTCCACGCCGACATACCGCTGGAGATGATGGATCAGATTGAAGAGGACCATCCCACTCCCCGTGCCTACTTCTAGCACGGTATCATGTGGGCTGCTCTGACGGATGGTGTCAATAGTGTCGTCCAGCGATTCGTTCATCGCCCCGGCATCAATATTGTTTCCATCGTACATCGAGGTCCATCCGACGAAGTCTCGACCGATTGTGTCAGGTCCCAGATCGGCCATCGCGCCGTAGTTGTCCGTGTTGAAGAGGTCGGTCCAGCTGCTGACCTGTTCGGTCGAAGTGTCTTCAGCAGGGTGCGCGCCCGGGGCTGAGTCTTGCGCTTCGAGAACTGTGACGAAGCCGAGAATGCTCGAACCCCCGTCTTCCTGTTCCTGCCGCTGTACCACAGCCACAGCATCACTGACCGAACTGTGGGCGAGCAGGGTCTGCTCGATCTCCGCGAGTTCGACGCGATAGCCGCGGATTTTGACCTGCTGGTCCATCCGCCCGAAGCATTCCAATTGCCCGTCCGTTGGCCGATACCGCACGCGATCCCCCGTCCGATACGCCCGGGTGGGTTGCCCGCCGATCTCGACGGTCACAAAGCGGCCCTGGTCCAGCAGCGGGTCGGTGTAGCCTCGCGCGAGCCCGGCACCGGTGACGACCAGCTCCCCCATGACCCCGGGGGGCACGAGACGCAGGCTCGGGTCCATCACGTAGGCGCCGGAGTCCGTGAGGGCCCGGCCGATCGGCACCCCATTCACACATCGCTCCCCGCGAGGGACGCGGTATATCGTGCTTCCCCCGGTGTTCTCCGTCGGGCCGTACGTATTGACGACCGCGCCCCCACCTTTGATCAGCCCCTGCGCCATGGCCAGGTCCTTCGGGCTCGATCGATCACCTGCCACCATCAGCAGGCCGAGGCTGCGTAGTGTCTGCGGGTGTTCGTCCAGGCAGCTCTTGAGCAGCGCGGGGGTGAACATCGCGGCGTGGACGCCCGCGGTGCTGAACACCTCATCCAACTGGATCGCGTTCATCACGGCCATGTCGTCGATGCAGATCAGAGTCCCGCCGTTCAGGAGCGCCGTGTAGATCTCCCACGTTGAGATATCGAAGGCCAGGTTGGCCATGTGAGAGATGCGGTAATCCGGCGGAGAGCGGAGTAGTGTGCCGTTGCTCTTCGCTAAGCGGATGATGCCGCGATGCTCGATCATGACCCCCTTGGGACGGCCGGTGGACCCCGAGGTGAACATCACGTAGGCCAGACTCCCCGGGCGCGGGGGCACAATCGCCGGGGCCCCGTGCAGGGTTCCGTGTGGCTCCGGATGATCAGGCTCTGGTGCGCAGATAAACTCGACCCCGGCGCGGTGGACGGCCGGGGCATTGATGTCCGCTCCTAGCAGAACGAGTCGACAGCCCGGAACGGATGCCAGGATCGTCTCGATGCGGCCCGCGGGGACTTTGACGTCCAGAGGCAGATAGGCCAGGTTGGCCTTGAGGATCGCCAGGAATGCCACGATCGTCTCGCATGAGCGGTTGGCAGCCACCCCCACGAGGGTCTCTGCTGGAAAGCCTCGGCCTGCGAGCCAGGTCGCGAGCCGGTCCGACCGTCGGTCCAGCTCAAGATACGTCAGCTGCGTCGATGCGTCCTGAACAGCCACTCGGGTCGGGCCGGCGGCCACCTGCTGCTGGAAGATCTCGACGACGCTGGCGTCCCGTGGGTACTCCGATCGTTCGATCTGGATCAGCCCCATCTGGTCGAGCGCAGGGTAGCCGTTGGCTAACGGGAGACGTTTGGCTGTGGTCTCCGGCTGAGCCAGCCCTTGCTGCAGGAGATCGCGGAACACCGCCAGGAACAGGCTGATGGTGACGGGGTCGAAAAGTTCCTTGGCATAGAGGACATGGCCCTGGAGGCAGTCCTCCCCTTGAAACAGGTGAAGCTCCAGGTCGAACCTCGTCGTGGGCACGACATCAATCTGTTCGGTCTGCACGCCGTCCAGCTCGAATTGGCCGAAGTTTGCCTGCGAGTGGACCGCAAAGGCCAGCTGGACCAGGGGATTGCGCGAGAGGTCTCGTCCATTCCCCAGATGGGAGACGATGTCCTCGAAGGGGACATCCTGGTTGGCGAATGCGGCGCTGGCTGTGCCTTGCACCTGGCGCACCAGCTCCTGGAAGGACTCGTCGTTGACCGTGATGCGGATGCACTGCACGTTGACGAAGAACCCGATCAGGTCTTCCAGCTCCTGCCGGCTGCGGTTGGCAACCGGGGTGCCGATCGTCGCGTCGCTTGCCCCGGTCAGTTGGTAGTGCGTCAGCCGGAAGACGGTGAGCAGGACAGTGAACGGGGTCACTTGGCGCCTCGCACAGAACTGTTGCAGGTCCTTATACAGGGAGCCTTCGATGCGGATCTCTTGACGACCCGCTTCGCCCGAGAGGGACGTGGGCCGTGGGTGGTCACAGAGAAGCTCGGCGGGCTGGCTGTCGTGGAGCTGCTCGAGCCAGTACTCCAGCTGCCGCTGATGCTCGCGGGCCTGGGCCTCCTGCCTCTGCCAGGCGGAGAAGTCGCGATACTGGATGGGGAGGGGCTCCACTGCTGACAGCGGCGGCCGGCCTCGAATTGCAGCAGCATAGAGGGCCTTCAGCTCCTTCCGGAGGACGTTCACCGACCATCCGTCGGAGACGATGTGGTGCATGACAATCGATAACACATGGTCCTCCGGACCCAGGCGGAAGACGGATGGCCTCCATCCAGGCTCGGTGGAGAGATCAAAGACCGTGGCGTGCTCGCGGTGCAGCGCACGCAGGAGATCTGCGTCTGTTGACGAGGCCATGTTGATCACGTCGAGTGGTTTGGGGTGGAAAGGGTGGACCACTTGCAAGCCCCCTCCGTCCTGTTGATTGAATGTTGTGCGGAGAGTTTCATGGCGCTCGGCCAGTGCTGATAGAGCTGCCTGCAGTGCGTCTAGTTGAAGAGGGCCTCGGAGGCGGGTCGCAAATGGCATCAGATACCAGGCAGAGCCGGGGTGCAGTTGTTCCAAGAACCATAACCGTCCCTGCGCAAATGACTGTTGGACCGGACCATGGCTCTGGGAGCGAGGTATCGAGACGTATTTCTTCGACCGTGGTAGTGGTGTGATTCGCTCGGCCAAGGTGGCGATGTCTGAGCACTCGAAAACATCTTGAGCAGTAATGGCAACGTCGAGCTGTTTGTTGATCCGTGATGCCACCATTATAGCATCGATGGAGTCTCCGCCATAATCAAAGAAGCTATCAGCGGTGTCAATCTTTGTTCCAAGGACTTTGCTGAATTCTTGAGCTAAAGCATGCTCGGTATCACGTTCTGGGACCGGCATGTTATTAGATGTCGAACAAGCGATGGCCTTTCTTGTCGGTGTCGAGCGGTTGACTTTATCGTTCATAGGTCACTTTGTCCAATAGCACAGTTAGCTATCCAGGGAATATTCTTGAACAATGCGAATCCGGCGAAGACAAAGTGAGCTAGCTGATTTGAGCCCCCAAGTCCAGAGAATAGCGGAGCACACCTTGGTTCACACACTTGTGATGTGATGTATCAGTTGGGCATCTAGTATGTAGTAAGTAGAGCCAACCCTCGTAAGATATAAGAGTCAACCCTCATGGACCTGTGCCTGCTCGTTTGTACTACATGAGAATGACCTTCTGAGTAGACAGTCACTCCTCAGTGGAACATGCACATGCAGGCTGTTCACCGCGCCACCAATTTGACATCTGACTCGTGTCTTCGGCCCTTGCCTTGGGATGCAAAGCAGGCCGGGCTTCCACCTTACATTTCACCTACATTTCACCTCTGCTCGACCTGTCCAAGTTGCCTTCTACCTCGCCCTTGTTGGTTTGCTCACCAGGTCTCTCGAATCGGCCTACAACCCCCCCCCCCCCCCCAGGTCGGTTATCATTATCATTATTCGTAGCCTGAATCATGTTCTCGGAAGGCTTGGGCCACAGCCGCATGCCGCACGCAGTTCTCAGCAAGCAACCACTGCAGCAAGGTACATTATGCGCCCCTTGCCATCTGATCTACGTCGCTCACTTATCTATCTCGCCTCGCTTTGAGGCTTTGCGGTGTTTTATCGGGGAGAACCCGGGAAAACCACCCGGCCTCTTACTAGAGCCGACTTCCACAAGTGAAGCCCCCCCCCACCCAACCGACGGATTACTCACGAGGCTGAAGGGTGCTGGGGCTTTCCCTCCCAGTGCAGAGGCAATACCATATCATCGAGGTCAAGTATTGAGCCTCATTGCTTTGCAGTGAATGAATGGTTTATCTACGTCCCCTGGTCGCAAGGAGACCAGATGTCGTACGGAGCTTCATTTCCCGCCTCTCCTTCCCTTTTCGTCGCCACAGCACAGCATACCACATTCTCGCAGGCAGAAAGACGGGCCCTTACCTCCTCTTTGTGAGACAGTACGTGACTCGAGATAACTAACGAACAGGGCTTACGCAGAGAATTGTAGGGTACAGCAGCGTCGAAGGAATATTACCAAGGTCTAGCGATGGATGTTAGTGCTAGCACCGCACCCTCCATTTGTCAAGTAGGATATCCTAGGTTCAAAAATGAAAAGCCAAGGTAGTCGTTGCTTTCGTAGCTCTGAATCTTCGTTTATCATGGTCCAAGTCATTGTACTGTACAGTATTATAAATCTGATTAGGTTCTAGTTGCCGCGTTCATCCTCGTCGTCGTCATGGATGCGAATCTCCACTACCGCCACTATCCGCCGCAGCACCCCCTTCTTCCTTCACCAACTCATTCCACCGCTGGATGACCTCCGCCCGCTGCTGCGGCGGCGCAGCACTCATCTCCTCGATGCCCTGCTTGATCCGCGAGGTGAGGATCTCCTTCGTCTTGCTCTTGGCCAGGGAGTTCCGCAAGCTCTTGTGGATCCCGTCCAGCGGGTATCCTGCGAGGCCCCAGATGCCTACCGCCCTCGATCAGCACATTGATCTCCCCGGGGAAACAGTACACCAGAGAAGCGACTTACCGGCAGTAGGCTTAAAGAACACCCCGCCCACACCCTTTCCAATTCCCTTGACGAAGCCGCCGCCGCCGGATTTCTCCATGCCGAGCATCGGCTGGGTGATCAAGCCGGTCACGCCGTGGTAGAGGCCATGCGTGAATTCCTGCTCATTTTGTCAGCCACACCAGTTCCACGCTTATCCAACCGTCGAGCCAGGAAGGACCTACCGTGCCTGCCGCGCGGAACCCGCTCCTCACACCCAGCACCTTGGGCGTTTTCTCCACCGTGGAATCATGGTACAGCTTCGGGGCATTGTGGAACCCCTTGGACAGACTCAGCGTCACGTCGGTGGGGATCATGATCGCCCAGTTGAGGATGTGTTTGGCCATCTTCCCGGCGTGATAGGTGGCTTCCCCGAAGAACTCTTTCGCGCCGGACTCCTCGCGCGTGCGGAGCCGGGTGATCGTCCGCTCCAGGTCGAGTTCCTCGCCGATCACCGGGTCCGTGTCTGGCTCTAACGTGGTCTGGGAGCTACCGGAGCTCGTCCGGGGACTGGTCTCTTCGCCATGGTCGGAGCGACTCGACTCGCTGGCGCTGTCGCTGGAGTGGCCTTCTTCGGCGGAGACGTAGGCCTCGTCGGACTCGTCGGATGATAGGCGGGAGTGGCTTGCAGTGTTGACGGGCCGGTTCGCTTGAGCGCGCATTTTCCGGAGGTCGCGTTGGCTCAGTTGGCTGCTCTCTTCCCCAACCCCGGAATCAAGAGAGGACTTCGTGCGCCGATAGAGGGACGCACCGTCCCGCTGCTGCAGTTCGCGCACGTGCTTCCATTCCTTCCGGCGACGGTGCCGATGCTCCCGGGATGTGGAGAACATCGTTGCCACGCCGTTGGGGACGTCGGCGATGCCGCTGACGAACCCGGAGACGATGCCGTAGAGAACCTCCGCGCCGGCGGTCAGGGGACCGCGAGGGTCGCGGTTCGTGTCGTATTCGATCGACCGGTATCTGGTGGAGTTGAGCGTGAGTTGCTTGCACGTGTGGCACATGATAACTTACAGGACTACGTTCCGTGGGTCGATCAACCCCGTCTCGACCAACACTGCCGCCGCGAATGTGCTGAGTTTGATGTGAGAATGCCGGACCCACCATACGGCCGGCAGATGGGGACAGATTGAGCACTGCAGACTCTGCAGGTCGAGATGTTGATAGAAGCTGATGGCCGCATTCCGCACACCTTGTTCCGAGCGCATCTGCTCACCGATTTCCTTGGCCTTTTCTTTGGTGGAGGGCTCCAAGGCCGTCTTGATCGCCTCCGTGAGCTTCTCCGTCGTCAATTGTTTGTAGGGAATCGGCTGTGGACCCGCACCCGCACGCGCGACAATGGAGCCCCAGAAGGGCTGATCGCCGAAGAAGGGGATGATCACCGTGGGACAGCCCAGCACCAGGCCGGCGGCCGTAGTGCCGGCCCCACCGTGGTGCACCACGCAGGAAACGTGCTGGAACAGCCAGTCGTGTGGAGCCTTGCTGATCATTAAGATGTTGTCGGGAATGTCCTTTTCGTCGGCTCCGAGATTCCCCCAGCCCTTGTTCACAATGGCCCGTTGGCCACTCGCCTTAATGGCCTCGAAGACGATCCTGGTCAATGAGCCTGGATTGTCGACGACGATGGATCCGAAACCGATATAGATGGGAGGAGGGCCTGCTTTGAGGAAGGAGGCGAGGTCGTCCGGAGGCTTGTAGTCGGACCCTGAAGAAAGAAACGAGAAACCCACCACATCGATATTCTCGGCCCAGTCCGAAGGCTTGGGCAGGAGAGCCGGCGACCTAGACCGGTCAATGAGAGTCATCATGAACAGGGATAATGTCTCTCACCATAGATATGTAAATGGGATTTGCAATTGATGTGCTATACTCGGCGCACGGATAGCATCCAACGGATCCAGACCCAGTTCGCGCTTGCGAAACTTGTTGATCAAGTCTCCCAGACCCTCCCACATCATGATTTCGACGATCGCATACGACGCAAAGTTCGCCGCGGACGGCTTGGTGTTTTGCGACCGCACCGTGGCCAGTGGATGAGGGAATGACTGCGTGGCCGACCATGGCATTCTAATCACGTTGTCAGCCACAAAACAAATCCAAGCGCGCGGCCTCAAAACACCTACGTGAACATCATGTTCAGGGGGATGCCCAATTTCTCCGCACAACTCAAGTGCGCAAAACTGGGCGGGTTGGCGATAATCGCATCGGCCACAAACGGCTTGGTCCTGTAGTCGCCCGCCTCGCTCCAGGGATCGTCGGGGATGTGATGCATGCCCGTCCCGTCGCCGGTTTCCCAGCACGACCGCCAGCACCCCGAGAATATCGTCTTCATTTCCCGCCGTCGCCGTCGGATCGCCCCGCTTCGTATCGTACTCATATGCGGCATCAGCCCGGGGTTCTTGACCATGAACGCCATCAGCTCCGCGGGATCCCCTCCGATGCTGAAGAACTCGAGCCCTTCGTCCTCGATGACTTCTCGAAAAGCCAGATGGGTTGCGAGGCGGACGCGATGGCCGTGGGACTTGAGCACCTTTCCCAGCGCGATGAACGGTTGTACATCCCCGCGGGAGCCGACCACTTGGATGACGATGTTGAGTTTGAGGGGGCTTTGGTGTTCCTCGTCCCAATCGTCTGCATTGATACAGAAATCGTTCTTGCCTTTCTCGAGTTCGGGTGGTTGGGATTGGAGGTGTTGCAGGATCTTGGTGACCCAGGGTTTGCGGTCGCGGAATTTGATATCGAGACGGCCATCGTCTGGAGAATGGGTATAACGGTCAGCTATTGTCACACAGGACGGGGTTGTCGTGACACGCACCCATAATCCGCACCCCAGTATTTAGACCTTTTTCATGGTAGTGGGCGCGCCGTTTGGAGTGACGATGGCCGCTGGAAGAGGGCTCGTCGTGGGCGAGCCGATCCTCAGGCCAGTCGTCGGCTGTTGAGCCATGGTGGGACGGCATGGGTGCTGGCAGATGGGGTAGACCATGCAGGGGTGAGGAGAGTTGGAGATTGGATTGAGACTTGTGTCTGTAGAGGGTGGCAGTGCTGTGACTGATCAGGAAAGAAGGAAAAGCAAGAAAGAGAATAGAGTAGGGGAAATTGGAGAAGGATCAAGGCGAATGGAAGGAGAAAGAGAAAAAAACGTGCAGGTCGCGAGACCGCATTATCGAAGAGTCAGACTCAAGTGCGGGCAGTGACGCCATCAGGGCCTTTGGGTCCACAGCCCATTGCTTCATGGAACATCATCGGAAGCTCGGGACACGCGGGTGATTGACTGACGAACAAGGAACCGGTGGGTCGCCTATCTCGTCCCTTCGTTCAGGGTTCTTTGAATGGGTAAGCAGCTAGCTCATCAGGGTCCAATCTCTTCTTGGCTTGTTCGGGAGTTCTCCGAAAGGCGCAACAGCCTCAGCCTTGTTTCGAGGGTCTGGGACCGCGGATGGTCAAGGAGTAATCTTGGATGGAGGATGGAGGAAGAAAAAGAGAAAGAGAGAGAGAAAGACAGCGATGAGATCATCCCATCCCACGTGACATGGCTAGCCCACGTGACTAACCACCGCCAGAAGAAGTCGGATAAAACCTGTTTGATGACTCTATTTGGCTTTATTGAACTAGTTAATAGTTCAACTACCGCCATGATTCTCATGCTATTAGTCTATGAGGTTTAGTTGTATTAGTGGCATGGATGTTTTCTGAATATCCGAGATCCCCATCGGTCTACGAACATTTGACTGTTAGTCGGGAGCCCTACGCCCCGCTTCAATAGTAGGAGTCGAGGGTGCGACCAAAGCCACACATACCACCAGATGTCAGCTATACGGCATCAACCTCATCTATGGTAGTATCTCCTTTCAGATCGTGAAACAAAGAGAAATCCCAGCACAATGAATCCCGAGACCCCCGCATACGAAACTTTCCCGATCACCGTGGAAGGGAACCCCCTGCAAATATCCGCGCTGATCCGCCGGGGCCGGCAACCCGCCATCCTGTGGCTGCACGGCTTCGGCTCGTGCAAAGAGGAGCTGCACGATCTGATCTTCCAGCGACCGCTGAAGGAGCACACCTTCCTCGCCTACGACGCGCCCGGGTGCGCCGCGACACACACCGCCGACCCGAGCGCCGCCACCATCGCCTTCATGGTCGCCACCGCGGAGGCCGTGCTGCACCACTACGGCGTCGACCGCTTCCACCTGATCGGCCACTCGATGGGCGGGCTCGTGGCCCTGATGCTGGCCGATCGCCACCCGGACCGCATCCTCAGCTTCGTCGATATCAAGGGCAACCTGACCCTGGAGGATTGCTTCCTCAGCCGCCAGATCTTCACCCACCCCGGGTCCACCCCGGAGGAATTCTTGGAGATGTTCATCGAGCGCACGCGCAGCAACCCGGCCTATTCGACCGCCCTGTACGCGTCGACGCTGCCCGCGCGCGTCCGGCCCGCCGCGATCGAGCCCATCTTCCGGTCCATGGTGGAGCTGTCCGATGGCGGGGACCTGATGGACCGCTTCCTGGCGCTCCAGTGTCCCCGGATGTTCATGTACGGCGAGCTGAACCGCGACCTATCGTATCTGGGCACCTTGCGCGAGCACGGGGTCGCCTTGGCGGAGATCCCCCAGAGTGGCCACTTCCCCATGTATTCCAACCCTGTAGACATGTTTGGGCGTATTGTCGGGTTCATGAAGAGCAGTGCGGTGATCTAGAGCATTAGATTGTAGATGGTTGGCGGCAGTATGCTACGAAAAGTATGGTTCTGCTTTTCTGAGATACAAAAGTATGGGTTAATGGGATGAGTGGGCTTGAGGATTTCCATGGGTTATATAACAGTAACTGTGCCGGTGGATTGCTTCCAGATATTTGCATCGATATCGGGCTGCTGAGTGGCGCATCCGCACCGCGTTGCGGCCCGGCCTCTAGTATTGCAAATAGAACTAGCCATGGAACAGCCAGTGGCTCATCGCCGCAGAACTATTGTAGACGGCTCTAGGGCAGCAGATAATGATAAAGGTTGTTGGTAAAAAGGACAGAGACTAAGAAGAGGCGGGACGTGGGCAGTGAGCGTTCTCAAAGAATGGTAGCGGGAAGTCTCAACATTGATATAATGAGTCGCCTCGGTGAACGCGACACTGTGTCGACCAGTATAAAGAAACGCACAGAGAGAGCTCAAATTCCGCAGCTGGACGAAGAGGTTAAATACAACGGTTCTAAGTGAACAGCCTGCTGATTTCAAACCCCAACCCTCATAAATTACCCGGCTTTCCAGTTGGTGAAAATGGCTTCCAGAATTTGCGGATCTCGATTCTACGTTGGCCAAAAAGGCGATCCGCGGCGAGAAGCCACCATCGGTGGGATCATCTCGCTGTATGGGACCGTCTACGGACTGACAGTTCTTCGCCCATTCCTAGCGGTCCCAGACCAAGAGGCCATGTTCATCGAGGAGAAGACTCCGGTGTCCGAGGAGCAGAACGAGGAAGCCCTATGGGCGCCCATGTCGAGTTATGACGAGGCCGGGAACTCCCCGCTCTGCTCGAGTGACGTGAAACTGTGCCCATTCTTCGCTTTTGAGGCCTATGATTACCAAACCGACCAGCGGATCGGGGCGATCCCTGACATCCCGGGTCTCGGTGCAGCAGACCCGAAGTTCTGGCATCTGAAAGGGAATTGGGCTCTGGTCCGTCTGGAAGATCAGGCGCTGCTTCTCAACGAGGATACGACCTCGCTGCACTCGATCTCCAAGTGCAGCGTCCCGGCGGGTCGACTGCATGTTGCAGTCAATCACCGTCCGCGTCGGCTGAAGAGTCGCAAGCTCAACGTGATCGACATGCCCCCCGTCGGCCGGATGTACACCCTGTCGATGGCGGGCTACCCGGTCGATAGCGGAGCATGGATTGTGGATATGGGCAGTATGTCCGTGTTCGCGGTTGTGTTTGGCTGGCACCAAGGCAAGACCTATGCACGTCCGGCGTTTGAGGCCTTTAATGAGCTCTTCACTCGCTTCTGGGAAGAGCCATCAATGATCACGATGAAGCTGCCAACTGAGCAAGAGAGTGACTGAGCCGTGGAAGCAACCTAGGAAGGCAGAATAGCAATCGCTGAGAATTCATCACATAAGACATTTCAAATCCAGAAGATGAATTCTCGTAAAAGCTCAAACAGCTGGTAACTGGGTTAATTCCAGCCCAAGTGGTGTTTGTCAAGCGAAATCGGTGTGACGGACTTGTCCAGTGTACACTCACTATGTGCCCCTTTGCAACCCTCAGAACCTGGCGTTGTGATGCAGAGGTACTGACCACCATGTTTCATGCACGTTATACAGTACCTTGATGGTGATCTGTATGACAAGCACCTACCGACATTCTGTCGGACCCATAAAATAGAATCGCTTTTTTCTTTCCCTCTGTTTTGATTTACTGTATCTGCTGCTGCTTGATTTTTACCGCCCGCCCCTTCCGGGCAGTGTCTCTAGTCTAGTTGCGTGACTTAGGGCACGGTATGTAGATAGCACTGTGGTGTTGACCACCACAAGGCAGTTCGGACATTCTTTTGACAGCCCGGTGGGGGCTATTCGCACGGACCGTGTGACTTTCAGCGTCATCAAGAGGGTTGGACTGGGGTATGAGAAGGCAGTGCTGGGCTTACATGCTTACTTCGTGGTTGCGCCCCCACTCAGGCACAAGGGCTTGGCGGCATGCATCCCACTACAGGCGCATGCTTGACCACACCTAACTGCAGTACGGCCCACCATCTAAGAAAGCATCAAATGCTGCTGCGGCCATTGACTCGGTCCTGGTACGTCCAGGTGAAATCTACTTAAGAGGCCTTAAAGGCACCACCTGCGAACATGCTAGACCAGCATCACCAGTGAATCCAGCAAGAACCCCAACCATCATGGATGTATCTTCAGGCGTGATCAATGCCTTCGCCTCGAGCCTGAGCCCGGACCAGATTGCTGAAGCGGAGAAATCTATCGACAGTGCCGGGCGGATTACACTGTACCAGTTCAAGGTGAGCTGACGACACTACTACACCCACTACCCATTACCCTCTACCCACTGCACCACTCGAGAATTCCCCTAACATCCAAACCAGATCGCAATCGGCGTCCTTCTCGGCCTGGCATTCTTGTCCTTCTCCGGACGCATCTTCATCCGCCTCTTCACCCGACGACGACTCTACCTAGACGATGGCTTTCTCATCCTCGCCTTCCTCTGCCTGTGCGTGGTGACCGCCATGCTCTACCTGCGGGTGCAGATCGTCTACATCCTGTTCGGGGTGCTGTCCGGGAACTCGGCCGCGTATGCGCTCGCCATCAAGCATTACGACAAACTACTGGAGCAGTCCAAGTGGCAGCTCGGATACATCACGCTGCTGTGGACGGTGGTCTTCTCCGTCAAATGGTGCTACTTCGCGTTTTTCTACCCGCTGCTGCGCAACGTCTCGCGGAAGCTGATCTGGTACTATCGCTTCGCGATCGTCTTCTCGGTCGCATCCTGGATCGCGATCGTGGTGGGCGAAGAGCTCATCGCATGTCCGTACCTCGGGGAAGAGGCAGGCAGTACGTTTCCCCCCAAACCCCACTCACTCTTCCCTCACGATAGCCGTACGTCAGCATCTAACCCACCTCACCCAACCCAGAGAAATGCTTCCCCGATCTTCCCGCGTCACGAACCTCCTTACTCGCCGCCTTCTGGGCCTTCCCCTGCCTCGACGCTCTAAGCGATTTAATCAGTGCGTCTGGCTTACCCTCTCCCATCCCATCCCAGCCCATCCCATTCCCTTCTCCCTCCTCCAATCGGCCTGCTAACCATCCACCCAAGTCGTCACCATCCCCATCCTCCTCCTCCGCAACGTCCAGCTCCGCACGCTCACCAAACTCGGCATCGGCTGCTTCGTCTGCCTCTCCGGCTTCATGTTCGCCTGCTCCATCATCCGCGCCGCGGGGACCTACTACCGCAACGCCCTGGACTACCCGTGGCAGGTGTTCTGGCTGCACGCGGAGGCCTGCATCGGGGTGGCCATGGCCTCCATCACCGCCTACCGGTCGACCCTGATCGGGTCGAACGAGGTCTCCGACCGCGTGCGCGGGTACCTCAGCCGGATCAAGCGGACGTGGAAGCAGCGGACGGATGGCTCGGAGGTGGAGAGTCGGCCGCGGACTGCCCCGGTCCATGACAAGAATCGATGGGGGTTTCCGCGCATCCCGCGCGGGACGATCACCGGGTTGCGGAGTGTGTTGGGCCGGAGTACTGCACACAGAGATACGACGGTACTGACGGCGGGGTCGATGGGAGGCGAGGAGGAGGCGGATTATCATGCTTACTTGAAGGGGGGGAAGGGGTCTATTGGTAAGGAATTCCGGCGTGGAAGACATCCAAACTTGGGGTAGATGCTAATCTGGTTTTGCTGGCAGCTAGTAGTCATACCCGTGTTGGGTCGAGGGATAGTTAGGGCTGAGCGGTGTGAGATCGATCTGGTATGGAGAGAATGTGCTATGATTTTGAGGTTAGAATTTGTGTGCTACGCCAATGAGATCTCTGTAGAGGCGCAGCTGAGTTGTCAGGCACTTGCTAGAGACGATTACGCTTCGTAATGAACTGCTCGATAACTGAGTGAAACTGCAAATTACCTTGCGTCAGATTCTCTGCGATCGAAACATGCTATCATGAGCACTGCCTTATGGACATTCTCCAACTCAGAACCTGGTATGCAGGCACTGCCCCCAACCACTAACCCAATCCGGTCTCTCGCATGGGCGACGCGTGGAAATCAAGGAGCGATTACCGAGTAGTGTAGAGAAGGGACGGGCCGAAAATAGTGTGGTCAATGACCATTCATCGAAGAGAAATGGCATGATGCATCATCATTCATTTTCTAAGCTTCTAGCAAGCACACTATATTAGTTGCACATATTCAAACATCTACGGATGCTCGCGATTCCGGAGGATACGGTGACTAATCAGCTTTGCCACTAGACTGGTAGTGTGAATCACATATCGAGATTGAAGATGGGCATTAGAACGCATACTGTCTTGTAGAAATCAATGAGATATGTCGAGATTGCCTCACAGTAGCTTGTTGGTTGATGCCTTGATGGCGGGTTGGCCAAGCTGCAATCCCGAAAAACAAGCAAGACAATGGTATTTCACATCTGATCTTGAACCAGACCAACCACAAAACAAGATGAAGAAAGTATATCCCAAGTCACATTAAACCACCACCAAAACACCCATAATCCCAAGCATCACAAGCCCCCACCCAGTTCTTCCTACACTGATGACTCCCCCCTCCCCGCGCTGCTGATTCTCATACGGATCCTTCAACTGCCCTACCTGCCCTTGACTCACATTGACAACTGTAAGAAACCCATCCATCACCGCCGAATCATCCGCACTGGTATGGTACAGCGGCGCGCACGCCTCCACCGCCGTCCGATTCTCCACCCCGGACGTGCAGCCCTCCACCGTCCCCGTGTAGCAGTATTGATAGGCCGTGAAGTTCAAATAGGCCGACTGGCCCGGACGGAGCAGGCGCGTGCCGTCGATTGCTCCCACGGTCGAGTCACTGAACTCCTCAGTCAGCGTCGCATTGCCGACCGTCTCGTCGACGGCCGTCGCGAAGGCCGTGGCGGAGAGGCTGGTGAGATTGGTGCGGGCGGTGTAGCTTGCGTCGCCGGCGGCCGTGAGGGCGCAGGTCAGATTTGTGCTGCTGGAGCAGGTCTCCGCGGCGGAGACACGCTGGGGAGGGTAGGTCTTCAGGTAGGCTTCGTTGTGGTCCCAGTTGAAGACGGTGCAGTTGGCCTGGCTGGAGGATTGGGCGGTTGCCAGTGGGGAGAGGAGGGTGAGGCAGAGGACATATTTCAGTGATTGCATGTTTGTGGATTCTGATGAATGAGTCGGAAAATGGGCGCGAGATCGTTACTGATGCTTGGTAGTGGAAGCAGTGCGTGCTGCAGGGTTTTTATGCGGTGGTTGAAGCGCTGCGCATACATACAATCCAGCGTGGATGCTGGGCAGCAGTGGCGCCAAGCTGTGCACCACGAGTCATTCAGGGCAACAGGCACAACACTGCTACGCCCATCTTGGCATGCTGACATCCGACGTCACCATGACTGATCTTTGGGCAAGTCAGGTACACAGCTCAGCGCATTCCATCCGATATCCGTTGGATGGTGGACAGATCGTCCGGCAGGTCTCTCTCGGCATTGATTTTAGTGTCTCGGGGGACAGGCCCAGCGCTAACTTGCAACACATGTACACATGTACTATTGTAGCAAGTAAGAACGAACGGACCAATAAGATCATCTCCAACAGCCAACTCAATCAATCCAGCCAAGACAAGCAGTGGTCATAGGATCGTGAAAGGGTATGTCAGCCAAGAAGCCCTGAGTTCATATGCGGTAGGGCCTCCATGCCTGCCCATACCCGGGCCGAGGGCGGATCAGCCCGCCCAGCGCCACTCCCACAGCCTCACGCACTCTCTGGGGTGGAGATTTGTTAGGTATGCTTGCCAATGAATCTGTTACTCCGTCCCCCAGGCGCATGAGAATACTTCTTGCCCGTCAAAAGTGGAGCCTCAAGTGTGAACTTTCTGATACCGATGGTGAGTCCTACTGAGCACGGCCTCCGTGTCAAATCACGACTGAGTGGTGACTACCACTATCTGAACATCTGGCAGGAACTGAAGGTTCTCTGCATAGAAAGAGCTAGTAAAACGCGAGCGGGAGATTTACTGGTTAATTGGGTGGTTCTGTTGGAAGGTTTTGCCGTGATGGTCGGGATTGAGGCCCTCTATATCTCTCGCTCCGCTTTTCGGACTACTCGATGCGAAGCAGATCGCGGCGTTTGTTTAGCCAGTGGGAGTGAATCAGGGGAACCTCTCACATTCGAATAGTTGCAATTTACTCCGAAGCGCCATGTCGTTGTAAGTTGTCAACTAACCCTCTACGATGGAACAACAAACCGGCCAAACCGCTGGGCCTTGATGCCTCAGGCAGCAATACAATTGATAAGCCGACCGAGGAAGCAGCGTCACGTTTCTTTCTCTTGCACAATACAGCAGCTCTCACCGACCATTTTCTCTTCTCTTTTCTCCCTCTACTTGCATCTGATCTACACATGTGTATGATATGATTGTCTAGAAGTGGCGGTACGCCAAAGATGATACCATATACCTGCATCTATGAACGCCAAAGGCCAATCCTTGCTTGTGTTCGCAGAATTATGCGGTACCACCCGACCGGCAGCGTGAAGGTACATTAGAAGCCTCATCAGCGAGGAAAGATTAACAGAACAGAACATATCCAAGGAAAGAAAACAATCTTTCCATCCTCTCTCATCGGTTAATTTTCTTCTCTCCTCCTTTCTCAACGAAAGACTTTAAGTCTTCAGCCTGCACCTGCAGACACGCCCGGAACTTCTTCCCCATGAACCATTTGACCACATACGCCAGCAGACCCCGCTGCGACTCCCACGACACCACCTGCGTGATGCGTTGATTCCCGTTCCCTTCCAGTTCCCCGTTTGCAGACTCCTCCACAAATTCATGGAACTCATGCACGCGCTCCGCATACAACAGCCACGCGGGCAAGCCCTTGCCCGAGGGATCGGTCGCCCACGCGATGCGCGCGGCTGTCTGTCGACCGTCCTTGGGCGGGTCGAACTCGGTCACCACCAGGGCCACATCTGCCGGCTTGGCTCTAGGTCCCCGGGGGTTCCAGTTGAGATGGATGGTCATCTTCGTGCTGAGGTGCAGCCGCGTCGACTGTCTCTGGTCAGGCTGCGCGCGGATGGTGGCTCCGGGGCAGAAGGTGTTCCATGTCGACCAGGCGCCAGTGTTAACCACGGCGTCCCATGCTTCGGTGGCGGGGGCTCGAATGACGGTTGAGCTCAGATACGTGCCCCGAGACTCGCGCGCGGGGATGCTCTTTGTGGAGAGGTCGAGGGTGGTGGGGTCGAGCCGGGGAGACATTGGAGGAGGATTGCAGAAGATAGAACGGGGAGACGTAGCAGTATGGGCTGAACATATTGAGTGCGTTGGTGGTATTGACTGTTGACAGGGGTATTTTTATGGATGCTGACGTCGGGGAGGATTTCGGACTCGATGGCCGGTGGAGTCCGCTCGACGCAGGCGTGCACGATGAGATGTCGGACTGCACTTGTCCCTACGCGACTGATTGGATTCATTTTGTCTGAATGCTTCGGGGCGATTCCTTAGCTGCCATGTTGACAGCCTTGCGGCTGGCATGGATTTAGTTGGGATTGGCTGATTGTCCGATGCGGAAGATAGGCGCGGACTGCTTGGCGGGCTGAGAGATTCCCATCGAAGAGGTGTGATACTTTATATCGAGATGGACTGCAGTCTTGTCACGCCACTCTGTATCATTCACCTACACCATTGACACATTGACAAAAAACTCATCGCTTCATCAATCTTGCCGCCAGATCAATCACAATGCCCACTTCCTTCGACCTCACTGACAAAGTCGCCTTAGTCACCGGCGCCGGCCGGGGCCTGGGCGCCGCCATCGCCAAAGAGCTCGCTTCCCACGGGGCCTCGGTCGTGGTCAACTACGCTCGCTCCGCGGCGGCCGCCCAGCGCGTCGTCGACGAGATCGAAGCCCTCCCTGGCAAACCTCGGGCCATCGCCATCCAGGCGGACGTGACCCAGCCGGCCGAGGTGACGCGGCTGTTCGAGACAGCCATCGAGCACCTTGGCAAGATCGACATCGTCATGTCCAACTCCGGAATGGAGGCCTTCTCCGCCGAGGAGGATGTCACCGCGGAGCTGTACGACGAGGTCTTCGGGCTGAACACGCGCGCCCAGTTCTTCGTCGCCCAGCACGCCCTCAAGTACGGCAGCCACGGCGGCCGCCTGATCCTGACCTCCTCCGTCGCGGCCCAGATGACCGGCGTCAAGAACCACGCCCTGTACGCCGGCTCCAAGGCCGCCGTCGAGGGCTTCACCCGCAGCTTCGCCGCCGACTGCGGCCCTAAGAAGATGACCGTCAACGCCGTCGCCCCCGGTGGCATCTACACCGACATGTACCTCGAGAACTCGTGGCACTACGCCCCCGACGGCTACCCCGGGATGCCCATCGAGCAGATCGACAAGGGCATTGCGAGCCTGTGTCCGCTGGGCCGCACGGGCAAGCCCCTCGATGTGGCACGGGTGGTTGCCTTTTTGAGCTCGGCTGAGGGCGAGTGGATCAACGGTGAGTATTTCTTCCTCGATTCGGATCCAGCGAATGCTAAAGTATGATGCGAATAGGCCAAGTGATCAAGTTGACTGGTGGTTCCAGTGCGTAAGGGAGATACAGTGTTACTGGTGAAATTTTGCTTTCTAGTCTCTTGATTCTGCTGCTTTAGAGAAGTGTACATGGCCTTCTTCAATGTTGCGCACAATACGCATGTAAATGGACGGACACGTACAAATTGCAGATTGTAGATGCGTTGTTTCTTAATATGAGATTTGTCACTTTTATTTTGAAATATCTAGTCATTGTTATAGACCGTGGCAAGAAAAGTACATTGCAACATCCTCTTCGAATAGGTGCTCCCCGGCTCTTTTCGTCTCTTGTGCGGCATACCATCCAACGCTCGATGTGCTGACCCCCTAACGACCTCTCAGCAGACATCGGACAAGGGACCCTTGTGAGAAGCTAGCCTGAAGCCTGAAGTGCCGGACATCGGACAGCCCCCTCTCCAAGGCCGGATGCCGATGTCCGTCGCGCGTTGGCTTGGACGATACAGTCAGATGTGCATGATCCTGCCCGAGACCAGTCTGGAATAACTATAACTGCAGCCCACAGCACACTCACCCAAGGCACACTTGTCCACCACCTTTGTTAGTTCTTTAGTTCTTTTACCATTCCCAACCAGACAAGATGCCAGCTGATAGCAAATGCGACGTCCTGGTCGTCGGGGCAGGCCCGGCCGGGTTCATGGCCGCATTGACGCTGGCTCGCTACAAGGTTGACGCCCGGGTGATTGACGTGCGCCCTGAACGCATCCAGACTGGCCATGCAGGAGGTGTGCTTACTTCCACTTCATCCGTAACGGACCCCCCCCAAAAGACAGACAGACTCACAAGGACATTGACAGGAATCCAACCCCGGACGCAGGAGGTCCTACAGACCCTCAACCTCCGTCACCAGCTAGACACGCGGGGCAACCATGTCAGCGAGATGGCCTTCTGGGCGCCCAACAATCTCGGGCAGCTGGAGCGCACCTACGTCGGCCAGGAGATCCAGACCACCACACCCTACCCGTGGATTCTGAGCGTGCCGCAGCGTGAGACGGAACGCGCCTTCGACGAAGAGCTGCAGCGCCATGGATGCCAGGTCGATCGACCGGTGGAGCTGATCGGTTTCGCCTACGTCGACGATGACACGGAGTATCCGCTGCACGTGCGGGTCAAGCACCGGCACTCGAACGTCGTCTCGACCTGCCGCACCAAGTACCTCCTGGGCGCCGACGGGGCGGGCAGCAAGACGCGGCAGCTGCTGGGCTTTGACTGGGAGACGCACGGTAGCCAGGACGAGGTCTGGTGCGTGGCCGACGTGCAGCTGCAAAGCGACTTCCCCGACCTGCGCCGCCGCTGCGCCATCCGCGCCGCCCAGGGCCGCATGATGCTGATCCCCAACGCCCTGGACACAAACCGCATCTACACCCTGCTCAACGACGAGGATCTCCGTCAGGTAGCCGAGCAGCCATCGCCCAAGGCCAACGGAGTGAACGGAATCAACGGAGTCAATGGCTACGCGCGGTACAGCGACACAGCCCTGGAGGCGCTGCTGCGACAGCGCGTGCGCGACGTGGCCGGCACCTACAAGATGGAGATCAAGCAGATCCTGTGGATCAGCCAGTACCGACTGCAGCAGCGGATCGTGGACCAGTTCTGGGACCAGCGCCGCGTGTTCATTCTGGGGGATGCATGCCATACGCACAGCACCTCAGCCGCGCAGGGGCTCAACACCAGCGTCGCCGACGCCTACAATCTGACTTGGAAGCTGGCATTGGTGCTGCAAGGGCGCGCCCAACCCAGTCTACTAAGCACCTACGCCCTGGAGCGCCGCCAGATGGCCCAGGAACTCATCGACTTCGACGTGCAGTTCTCGCACCTCTTCTCGCGCAAGGACTTCCGCGAGGACACCCAGTTCCAGGACACCTACAAGAAAGCGCAAGGGTTCACCTCCGGCGTCGGCCAGCAATACCAGCCGGGGCCCCTGACGCGGCCCTGCGAGGAGCCTCTGGTCATCGACCACTTGGCCGTCGAGCCCCTGACCCCCGGCAAGCGCCTCTATCCCATAGATGTCTACCGTCACCTGGACGGGACGCGCCTCAACCTGCTCAATGACCTCCCGTCAAACGGCCGCTTCCACCTCTGTGCATTCGTCGGCTCCGCCATTCAGGATAGCCGTCTAGCGCCGCTGACAGACTACCTGGCCTCCTCCGCGTCGGCCCTCTCGCGCTTCGACGCGGCCGCCAACCCGGCCTGGGGCTTCGAGGACATCTTCTACGCCAACCCGCAGAACCGCGGTCGCATCGTGGATCTGTTCCTCGTGCACTCCGATAGTCGCCACGAGGTGCGTCTGGAGAGCCTGCCCGCCCCGCTGCCGCAGTGGAAGTACCGCGTCTACGAAGATCCGCAGGCGGCGGGGCACCGTCTGCTCGGGGTGGATCCGCGAGTCGGGGCTTTGGCTCTCGTGAGACCGGACGGATTTATTAGCTTGGTGGTGGGGCTGGATGAGGGGCACAAGGTGACGGAGCTTCTGCGCGAGTATTTGATCTAGATGCGTTGCTGCGTTTTGTGTTTGGGTCGGATTGGGCTGGTTTCCGACCGTCTGATTGGAGTGCTGCTTCGTTGTTTGTAATGTATTGAGTTGGAAGTTTATGAATGCGATAGTATAGTGTTCCTAGGCTGCTTTCAACATGAGAGTGAGTGCTTTGCTGTAGGTACTGCCACGCACATTCCTGGCTCGCGTTGGATGGATTAGGGCTCCGTTCAGTCCGTCGCAGTCCTGCCACGGGTCGGAAATGCCTGACGGACCTTGCCTGGAACTCCGAAGTGTCCTTGCATGGGACGGCGAGGGTTACAATATTATAAAACTATTCTTCTAGTCTTCAGTCTGAGACCACAGCACTTGCACACTAGTGGTAACCTAATCCCAATCAACATGGCGACAAACAATCTATCCATTTCCTTCGAGGGTGTGTGAATGAGCACTTGCACAGTTACGATCGATCGATGTGTCCTAATGCCCTAGTTTCTAGACTACCTTCAACTCGAGAAATGCGCCTTCAACTGGGGCGACAGCTACGATGCCAAAGTACGAGCCCTCATTCCCTATCAACCGTCAGTGCTGATGAGTAAAACAGGATTGGGACCGTCTCCGGGCCATCATCGCGCCAACCCTAAGAGTAAGTGGTAACCGACACCATTCTCTCCCGCGACTGACACGGCTCAGATCGACTACCGCCTGGTGATGGACGACCGCTGGTTCTGGCCCGAGATGCAGGCGGACGACTTCCTGGCCATGGTCTCCTCCGAGGGGTTCCTGGGCGACCCCTGCGTGAAGACGCAGCACCTGCTGGGGGCGCACTGGTGGGAGCGCGTCTCTGAGACCGAAGTCATCGGCCATCACCAGCTGCGCGCCGCCCACCTGCGCTACACCGACGCCACTCGCTCCACCGTCAGCAGGCGCGGCCACGGCCACGCCACCAACACCCACTACTACCGCAAGGTCGACGGCCAGTGGAAGTTCGCCGGCATCCGGCCCCTCGTCCGCTGGAATGAGTGGGACTTCGAGCACATCTTCCGCGGCTTGGAGTTCCCGGACGAGACGGCGACGACTACGTCTAGCAGCGGGGAGGATAAGCAGCAGAAGCAGAAGCTGCAGTTCAAGGCGTTGCCGGCGCCGGAGGTCGGGGATGTGGTGGAGGAGGCTGTCTAAGGGGGAATGAAGAAGGCGGGTGATGATGAGTGGTGGGAAAGTCCGGAGACTAGGGAGTTAGCCTTACATTGTCTGCAGAGTCTGCATTAGTGTCAGATCAGTTGCAGGATTCTTGCCAATGTCCGGTCATACGGCGTTGGGGGGAGATTCCGTGGCCGTATGCCTGCCCCGAACGCCGGTCCCGCATTCTTGCCCTTTCTTCGGCTCCCCCGTTGTTCGTCAGTGATATTATTTCTATTCTATGCTCTTTTCTCTTTATCGTGTCCAACCTAAATTGATTTACTTGCTGCTCTATATTCTACCAGTCTGGATGCCTCCCCATGACATCGCTAGACCACATTTCAATGGCCGAAAAACCTCTCCCCAGCGAGGTTTCCTCTGATGCCGAAACCCTGCCACTGCCTCTTCCTCCTCCTCCTCCCAAAGATGGACGCCCTCCCTTTTCGTTGGGGCGAGAAGTCCTCTTCACCAGCACCCTGCTCACCTGCCAGATCCTCGCGCAAGCAGGCATGGGCCAGGGACTGGCCGTGTTGCACATGATCGGCGATCACTTCCATGTCACCGACAACGGCGAGCTCAGCTGGTACCTGGCCGCGTTCAGTCTCACGACGGGCACTTTCATCCTGGTGGCCGGGCGGCTGGGCGACATGTACGGCTCTAAGCCCATCTTGATCGGGGGGCTGGCCATCTACGCGCTCTGGTCGTTTGTCGCGGGCGCCAGCTACTTCCTGCGCAGCTCCGACAAGCTTTTCGTCATTGCGCGTGCGTTGCAGGGCCTAGGGGCCTCGCTAATGCTGCCCAACGCGGTGGCTATCCTCGGCCGCACGTACCCCATGGGCAAGCGCAAGAGCATGGTCTTCAGTTTGTTCGGGGCGTTCGCCCCGGGGGGCTACATGCTGGGCGCCTTGTTTACCGCCATCCCCGCCCAGTTCGGCATCTGGGCCTGGGCCTACTTCGCCATGGGGTTCGCATGTCTGCTGCTTGCTGCTGCTGCAGTCTTCACTCTCCCTCCGACCCCTTCCAAGGCCAGTCCCGACGTGGGTGGGCTGGACTGGCCCGGCTTCGTGCTGGGGGTCTCCGGCCTGATCCTGGTGAACGTGGCCTGGAACCAAGGTCCCACAGTGGGCTGGGCGACCCCCTACGTCTACGTGCTGTTAATCCTGGGCGTCCTCGCCCTCGGCGCCTTTGTGGTCGTGGAGAAGCGAGCGACGCGACCGCTGGTCCCCATCCGCGCGCTGAACTGGCATATCGTCTTCGTGCTCGGGGCCATCTTCTTGGGCTGGTCCTCCTTCAGCATCTGGCTGTACTACCTGTGGCAGTTCCTGGAGAAGCTGCGCGACGTCTCGCCGCTGC